ATAGAGCTTCTCCATCTTTGGCTGCAGAGAATATAATCAATCTGATTTCGATATTGCTCATCTGGTGATTTCCATGTGTAGAGTCACCTCTTGCGTTGTTGGAAAAGAGTGTTTGTGATGACCAGCTTGTTCTCTTGACAGAACTCTATTAGCCTTTGTCCTGCTTCGTTTTGAACTCCAAGGCCAAACATCCCTGTTGTTCCTTTTATCTCTTGGCTCCCTACTTTGGCATTCCAGTCCCCTAGAATGAGAACATCTTTCTTTGGTGTCAGTTCTAGAAGGTGTTGTAAGTCTTCATAGAATTGGTCAATTTCAACCTCCTCAGCATTGGTGGTTGGTGAATGAACATGATTTACTCTGTTGTTGAAAGGTCTGCCTTGGATTTGTATTGAAATCATTCTATCATTTTGAGATTGTATCCCAGTACAGCTTTTCCCACTCTTTTGTCTACTGTGAAGGCTACTCCATTCCTTCTGTGGGATTCTTGCCCACAATAGTAGATGTGATAATCGTCTGAGTTGAATTCATCTATTCCCATCCATTTCAGTTTACTGATGCCCAGGATAGCAATGTTTATTCTTGCCATCTCCTGTTTGACCACATCCAGCTTATCAAGGCTGCTAGAAGAGTACAAACCACCTGCCACCTCACTCCACTCTAAGTCCCCCCCCCCAAACCCACACAGGTTCAAGAGTCAAGCCCAGGTGCTTTCCTCCATCATCCCACTCCCCCACCTCCATTGCCCTGCTGGACGGGGCCCATGCTTAACCAAAAAGGCAGGGAAGCCAGCTCTCAAGTGGTGGGCTGCCAATCATGGGAGTCCTGCCAGAACTTCCCTGGGGCCTCTTTTCCCACGGAGTCTCCATCATGGCAGCAAAGGTGAGAAACGATGGTGGGGGGAACGGATGGGTGGCGGCAGCAGTGCTCAAGCTCCCTTCTGGGTGCTGGGGGGTGTTTGCGGCCAGCGCCTTCCTCTCTCCCTGCTTCTTCCTAGACGTGGCTGGACCCGGGTGCTTGAGGGGTGGGTGGGTGACTGGCTGGCAACCCTGGAGGCCCCCTGGGGCTTTTCAGCCATGAAAAAGGAGAGGAGTGACGTATTGTGGGGTGGGGGCAAATGGGGAGGAGGAGAAGGAGGAGGAGGAGGAGGAGGGGAGGAAAACTCGGGTGTGGGAAAGGATGTTGGGAGCCTCTCAGAGATTCTATCAGCTCTCTGCTGGAAGGGGTGGGGGTGGGGAGTGTGTGGCTACTTCCCAGAGGGTGGGTGTGCTCTGAAGCCTCTTCTCCCCCCCCCAAGCTTGCAGAAAGTGTGTTGGGGGGGGAGGAAGGCTGGGAATTTCCCCCTCCCCAAAAGTCGGGGTGGGGCAGATGGGGCTGCCCAGCGAGGCGGGCAAGAGAGACCATCCCAGACCTCTGGCCAAGCGGCTTTGCTTTGCTTTGCCTCCCTCCATTCGGACGGGATTTCCTGCTGCTCCCCCCCCCGACCCGTCCCCCCCCCCCCCCCTCTACTTCCCCTTCCATAGGTCCCCTGTGCCTATTCCCAGACTTCCTCTCTCTCTTTCCTCCCCCACCGGTTTCCCAAAGAAACACGAGGGAGGGGCTCCGGGGTCACCAGGGAGACCTGGCAAGGCCCGATCCCAGTTCTACTCACTGGTGACCTGCTTGGGCTCATTGTGTTCCATCAGGCGGCCACCCAGGTGGAATGAGATGCTCCCCCTCCTGCACGTCCTGGCTTACACCTTTTAGGAGGGAGGGAGGCAGTAAGGGAGGCAGGCGGGGGGGGAGGAAAGGGGGAGAAGGCAGATTCAGGGGAAAGGGTGTAAGGGATGGGTGGGATTTGCACCCCATCCTTGGGTGGGATTTGCAAGGGGTATTTGTAAGGGGTGAGGGAAGAGGGGAGAGGCACCCCCCAGCCACAGCGCCTTGCAGGTGCCCCGAACCAGGACTGGATTCAGATTTCAAACCCTGGTGGTTTGAAAAAGAGGCTTTGGCACTAGATGGGCGGCTGAGCTCACTCATGGGGAGAGGACGGCCGTCACCCCACCCCACCCCCCCACCCCCCACCCCGGTTATGGGTACTGAGATTTCTCA